TGGACACACAGACAATTTCTCGTCAATATGCGTTTTCGCATTGCATTGCTGCAAAAAACGCATAAAAAAGGTACTGATTGAAATAGAGCTTTTGACAATGTAGAGTCCACAGACACATGAAAGATTATCTTGGCAAAGCATTACCGTTGTGTAGTAATCTGTTCAAGAAGTTCCCTTCAGCGTGAGGCAGTGTGTTTTTCCGTTTCGTTGCTTTGCCGTTTTTATCTAGCCAGTGTGGTAGACTGCTGTTTACAGATGTTACCTCTAGCTGCACTACTATTATGTCTAAGTGCAGGGGACGCGGCTGAACAAAGTGGCGATGCGACTCCATTGCAGAAATCCCGAGTGCTCGAGCCAGCACCGAGCTTGTCCAGTTTGGACACCTGCCAGTATTTGAAAAACACTTCCGGTAATATTTATTTATAAGCGAATTTTTATGGCACATATATTACCAACATTCAACGATGCCCTACTGATCTTATATTTACTTCTTCGCCAGTAGCGATGTTAAGCGTCTGTGAATTAATGGGCCAAAACATCTTGTTCATCCAGTTTTTTGAAATGTTTTTAAATTTTTTAAATTCATATCATGATTGTCTCTATTAAATTATATGCTAACGATTGAGGTGATTAGTAGAATGACTAAAAAGTATCCTTAATAACAACGCCACTAGCGCGGAAATGAGTATAGTCCGGATAAAAGAATATGATTTTATGCTTTTTTGACTGAAGTACTTAACTTCCGGAATTTCTAGTTTGCAACCCTCGCAATTATTCATTTTATTTGCAACCTTCGCAATCATTCATTTTTATGCCTTTTTGCCGTGCAGCGCTAGAGTGCTGCAACTGGCAGCAAAAACGCGTTTGCAATGACCCTGTCAGTGTGTGTGTGTGTGTGTATGTTTGTGTGTGTGTGTGCGTGTTCGTCTGTCCGGGTGTTTCAACTAGCCAACCACGCAAGCTTTAAAGCTGAAATTTCGCCAGTGTGTTCCCCAGCCAGGTACCACCCCAAGACCGCGGTTTAAACCCTCACGCACGTCTGGACCCCGCGTACGAGCACGTAAAAGTTTTGGCGCGAAAAATGCTAACACGGGAACGAGAAAAGCTAGAAAGCTGAAACCTTGGGGGAATGTTCTCTACATGTCTGTGAGAAAAAGATTTCAAATTCGGCTGCCCAAGTATACCCGGGGCTTACGTACGGGCAAGTGAAAGTTATGGCGGGAGAATTCATAACACGAAGACGAGAAAAGCTAGAAAGTTGAAACTTTGGGGGTATATTTTCTACTCATGCACGACCAAAAGTTTTCAAACTCAGCTCATTAAGGCTGCCTGGGGCTCACTTATGGACGCGTGAAAATTTTTGGCTCGAAATTTATTAGCCCGGGAAAGGGGAAAGCTGGAAAGCTGAAACTTTAAGGGAATGTTCCCCGCTCATGTACGAGCAAAATCAGGTGTTTAGAAGCATTCGGGGCTCACGTACGGGCACAGGGAATTTTGGCGCGAAAGTCACTGACCCGGAACGGGAAAAGCTAGAATGCTGAAACTTTAAGGGAATGCCCCCTACTCATATGCGAGCAAAATCAGGTGTTTAGAAGCGCCCGAGCCCACATACGAGCGCGTCGAATTTTGGCGCAAAGTTACTAACCCGGGAAGGGGAAAAGATAGAGAGCTGAAACTTCAAGGGAATGTTCCCTACTCATGTACGACCAAAAGACTTTAAACTGAGCCCCTTAAAACCGTTCAGTACTCATGTACGGTCACGTGAAAATTTTGATGGGAAAACTGCTAACTCAGAAACGGGAAAATCTGAAGGCTTTGATTTTAAGGGAATGTTTCCTGCTCATGTGCAACTAAAGGATTTTAAACTTGACTCTTCTAGTGTGGCCCTTTTTTGCGGACCAGCAACTTTGCATCTGTCGGGTCACTGAAGTCGACACCTACAACTGACATACCACATAGCTGCACAATTAACTTCCCG